CTGTTAAAAGGACAAAGTTTTTCTGTACTATTGGTATACTCTTAATAAGAGATTATAAAGAGAAAGCAAACAGTTTGTGTTTTATTAAAACTATTTTCAGCCCTCTGTGCTGTCAGGTCTTTGATTACTTAAATAGTTTTGTTGATATTAAAAGAGCTAAATTTTGCTCACAACTATTTAACTTTATATATTTACCTGTGAAGTCTTTTTTTTAAAAGGCTTTATTTATTTATTTTTAGAGAGATGGGAAGGGAGGGAGAGAGGGAGAGAAACATTAATGTTTGTGAGAGACATATCGATTGGCAGCCTGCCACAGGCCCCCAGCTGGGGACCTGACCCTCACCCAGGCATGTGCTCTGACTGGGAATTAAACTAGTGACCTCTGGGTTCTCAGGCCGGCACTGAATCCACTGAGCCACACCCACCAGGGCTCCTGATGAAGTCTTTAATTGTCACCATGATTAAGTAGATAGCTAGGTATTGTTTTATTGTGACCTATGATCCTATTTGACCAATTATTTTAAAACTTTTTATATTTGACAAACTTCCCAAAATTAAAAAATTAGAGACCTTTTTTTAACCTAAAAATAACTGAGGTTTTTAAGAAGACTCCCTGAAACATTCCAAAGGATCTCCCTCTCTCTCCCTTTATAAAAAGGAAAATAAATTAATTAGGTCTATTTGAGTTGCCAACATTACATGAGAAGCATTGTCAAATAAGAAATAATAATTAGCCCCAGCCGGTGTGGCTCAGTGGCTTGAGCGCTGGCCTGTGAACTAAAGGGTCGCCAGTTCGATTCCCAGTCAGGGCCCATGCCTGGGTTGCAGGCCAGGTACCCCGTGGGAGGCGTGCGAGAGGCAACCACACATTGATGTTTCTCTCCCTCTCTCTCCACCCCCTGCAAAAGTCAATAAATAAAATCTTAAAAAATAAATAATATGTTATACTTGTATGCATATATTATTACTATTAAAATAAATGTTCTAGAAATTACATTAAAATTCTAGAAATCTACAATGTCCTGATATATCTTCACTTGGAATTCTAGTTATCTTAAAATGTTATGTTACAAAGAAAAGCAAATTTCTTTGTCACCTGCATTATAATCAGATCTTTAACCACGTCATTTACAGAGTCACTGTCTTACTCTGATTTTTCTTTTTTTTCAAATATGTTTCATCCTTAGAGAGGACTCTGACACTTACTGTAAAGTACATGTTTCTGCTTAACTCTCAGATTATGTCTTTGAACTGCATGAGGATTTGCATAAGTCTAAGGAAAAACTGGATTCATAAAACTGTTAACAAAAAGAGCTAGATCAACAAGAATTAATAACATGGGACTCAATGAACTAATGAGGATGATTACAATTTTTATGACTTTACTTAAAATATTGCTGGTTCTTTAATCTTTTGTTTCTCTAGATATAATGGAAACTTTTCTCTTGAGCAATAAATTATACCTTTGTAAGTAGAATTGAAACATTTACTTTTTCTACCTACCTCATCCCTCCAGAATCCAGAATTCTTGGTGACTATTCTTATATTAATGGCAATATTGTTATTTGCATAAGTTAATAAGAATCTGTTTACCCTGGCTGGTGTGGCTCAGTGGAATGAGTGCCAGCCTGCAAACCAAATGGTCGCTGGTTTGATTCCCAGTCAGGGCACATGCCTGGGTTGCAGACCAGGTCCCCAGTGAGGGGGGGGAGGGGCGGGGCACATGAGAGGCAACCACACATAGATGTTTCTTTCCCTCTCTTACTCCCTCCTTTCCCCTCTCTCTAGAAATAAATAAAAATCTTAAAAAAAAAATGTGTTGTCCTTGTAACAGGACACAACTGGAAACTGGTTATATTACCAAGGCTTTCACTGGAGTGTCATATTTGAGAGACACATGCATAGACTCAGATATGAGCAGACGGCTTTGAGGAATTGAGATTGACTTACAGAAGCCAATAAAACCCTTGGCTATATCACCCTGGTACTTTGCTTATAGGGTTCTCAGAAGCCTTAACCAGGTGAGCAAAGAAGGTTGCTTCCTGGCAGGTGCGGGAATCTCAGTTCCTCTAGGGACCTCAAGAAGAAAGAAACTCACCCAAATCTATAGGTATTGCAGATGATGTCTGATGGCAAGTCCTTGCCTTAACTTTTCTGGCCTGAGGGGCCTTTAAAGTTCAATCTGAAGATTCCTTATGAAAAATTCCAGCAAAGCAGATTTAAAAGAGCCTATATGGTTACTTACCATTCTTGCTGCTCCTATGTAAATAACAGGCCAACTTGATTGAAACCAGACTTATTTTGCAAACAAATTAGTCTTGGCTGTATGTGGTAAAGATGAGGGTTATTTTAGAGAGAAAAATCACTGAGGACTAAAACAGCCAGCCCCTTTACCAAAGCCGTACAAGCTAAAATGGGGCAACTTAATAAAAACCTCAGAGAAATCACAACAACTACTCATATGGACAGCCTTCATGCCTGTTGCAGAAAAAAAAGACATTCAGATTGAAAACCAAGAGAACTACCAGACCCTTGCTTGCCTGCCCTTGCTCCATCTGAGGGTGATTTGAGCCAGACATCTACAAATCTCAACTGACTGCCTTCAGAACTCAGAAACTGGGATTATAGTTGGCTTCAATCACTAAGTATTGTTTTCCTTTAGTTTCCATAGAGATGCCTCTTATTAAATACCTGATTATTTGCACCAGAGGCCTAATTTGGGGATTTACCTGCGTCATGGCCTCCTAAAATAAGAGACAATTTTTTAACTGAACTCACCTATTCTCAAGACTGAGACTGGTTTCTCAAACTGCTATCTAACAGCCCTGGCCACTTAGCTCAGTTGGTTAGAGTACCCTACTGACAGGTCAAGGTTGTGGGTTTGATTCCCAGTTCAGGGTACATACAAGAATTGATCAATATATGCATAAATAAGTGGAACAACAAATAGATGTTTCCTTCTCTCCCTCCCCCTCTCTCTACTCTAAAATCAATTTTTTTAATTTTTAAAATTTTTTAAAACCCTGATAAATAATAATATCTTAGTTGGTCCTTTCCTAATGTTTCAATCTAAAAATTGGCACAAATATTGAGCTGACTATAAACGCATATATGACAAGCATGTCTCTAGCACATGTCTTCCCTCTGAGGGACATGATGGACCCAAAGAAGGCACTCCCACCTTGGCATGAAAGGACTTTAAAATGTTTTGTTTGATCTACAATGTTTTCTAGGAGAAAAACCCTAATCAAAAAGGGCAAATGAGGAGTAGAGTGAAGAAATAAAGTAGAGCCACCAGTAGGCAGGGGAAAACCATGTGGAATGCTGCAGGGGTGGGAGGGCCCACGGGGGTGACCTAGATAGGGCCTCGAGTCCCCCTCTGCCTCCTCAGGCCCAGGGCTGAAAGTCACCCATGGGGTGAGAGAGCTGCTGTTACTCACCCTAGGCCCCCACACTTGCCTGCTCATGGGAAGAGACCTGAAGTGTGAAAGTGGGGTGAGAACTTTCCATTCCCCTGCAGCTGGCATCAGATTTCCCTCCTTTCCTCCCCAGGTTCATGGCATCCTCAGACACCAGCCCCATACCACCTCTCTCTCTCTCTCTCAACCACCCTCCCAGCTTTCTCCTTTTGTCTCCTCCCTTCACACCCCATGAGCTATTGTTTTTGCTCCTTGGAGGAAAAGTTGACTCTGGGGTAGTGGTGAAAGGGCCTTCAGGTTACCCACAGGAGGGAAGCGCTGGGCCCTTCAGGCCTCCTGTTCTTGGCCATCTTCAGGGTTACTCTGGGGTGGGCCTTTCTGGGTGGTACTTGCCTTCCCCTGTAATGGCCCCTCTCTCAATATTGTAGGGACCCCAGAGAAGAGTGCAGTGCGGTGGGGCTCGTGGGGCTCATGTGGCCCCGAGAATCGGGATGCTTGGAAACACTTTGCAGTTTCAAGTGATCCCTCTCCTTCTACCCTCCAACTGGGCCAACACTGGGGCAAGGCCATTTAGCGGCAGAGGGTGGGTGGGACGTGCAGACCCTCATCCCAGGGATCAGAACCCTTACAAAATGTTATGAATTGTTTCAAGCATCCAGAAAAACACAACAGAATACTTAACCAGCTTTTTGTACCCACCCTGAACCAAGACATGGTAGCATGTCAGCATCTGTATGGGCAGCACTACAGCTTGACATTCTTTATTTTCATCAGGATCAAATTCAGTTTCCAAACAGCGTCCTGTATTTTTCCCATGGCGACGGGGTCCCTGGTGTCTGGATCCCCAATAACTGGGTTGATAAACACGCTCCCGCCATGCAGGGCTGCCATCATCACCCCACCATCACAGCCCCAAAGAAGGTCTTCCCTCTCCTGTAGTCCACCATATCGGGGTGGCTGATGTTGACGTACACCCTCTCACCCTTCTGGAGCTGCACCAGGCCGCCGACCCCAACGCTCGCGTACCAGAGCCTCCGGGCCGGGTCCAGGGCCGGGCTCACAGTCTCAGCGCCCTCGAGCAGTAGCTCGGGAGTCCCGGGTCCGTAGGCGCCCCCAGCCCGGTACAGCCGGCTGCGCAGCGTGACCGCCCGGTCGAGAGGGTCCCCGTCCGCAGGGGGAGCCCGGCCTCGGTAGCCGACCTGGCAGTAGAGGTAATAGAGGCCGTCCCGCGGGAGGGCCAGCCCGTCGGCGCTGGAGAACTGCGCCCCGCTCCTCAGAAACGCCTCTTCTTTCTTCGCCTCCCAGCCCAGACCCTGCCCCTGCGTCCAGGCGCCTGCGGAGAAATGGGCCGGTGGGCTCTCGGGAATTCGATCCCAGCGGAGCCACTCAGGCCTGGGACTCCTGGGAGGGCGAGCAGAGAGCAGGGTCTTCTAACGCCCTGCAGGGACCGAGCCGAGAGGGGGTGGGGTAATGGTGCTGCCTCTGCAATGGGTGCGGTCGGGGACTGAGGGCACCTGGATGTGGGGTGCGGAACGCTGCGCTGGGAAAGAGATCCAGGCCGGGTTTTGCCTGCTCCGGGAGGGAAGCAAGCAGCTGGAACGCGGGGCTGGCGGAAAGGGTGGGCTCTTTAGGGGCGAGAAGTGGTGAATCGAGTCGGACCCAGAGCACTGCAATAATGGAGCAAAGGTGCTCTGACCATGGGCGAACAGAACTGGCTCCCTTGGACTATTCAGGTCTATGAGATCCTTACCTATGAGGTGAGCAGCCGGGAGCCTGGGGCTGAAATCTGTTTCCGCGTCCTGCTCAGGTAGCTCCTGGGACCCTGAAAGGGGTAAAGAGTCCACGATTGGGACAGGGTAGCTACCCAGGCATGATCTCTCTGAGAGGACAGGGCACCAGAGCCCAGGGATGGGGCACCTGGATTCCTGGAAGGACAGTTAGAGTATCTGGGGATGCAGATGGATGGGAGCTGAGGGTGCCTGAAGGGCTGGAGCTGGGAGGGGAGATGGTCTGCTCTTACCCAATCGCTGCTGGGCATTTCCTTGTGCCCCCGGGCCAGTGGTCTCTGTTACCTGAGTGGGTGGGGTCACAGTGGCCAGAATTCAGTCTCAGCTGGTACCAATCCCACCCCTCTCAATGTAGACCCAACCTCCCAGCCGAAGCACCCATCTCCCTGGTAGGGAGAGCAAGCAAGGTTGGGCAGAGAGACAGAGGCCTGAGTATTTCCTGGGAAGAGGAAGGAGACAGACAGACAACCAGGAAGGGGCTTGGAGACAACAGGACACAACAGCATCACAGGAACATGGAAAGAGAGCCAGCCAAGAGGCGAACCAGACATCCCTGCCAGAAACAGCCAAGCCAGCTGAGCAGATGAATCAAGAAACCCCAGGGAAAGCCAGAAATAAGTGAGCATGAGCAACAAACAGCCCTCTGGGCACTTACTGCAGCCACTCACCAGTCCTCCTTGCTTCTGGGGCACCACAGCCAGCACAGCCAGAACAGTGATAGGCACAGCCAGCAGTAAGGTCACCAAGGAAGTTGTTCCTGCCACAGCCAGCAGGAGGCAGCCCTTCCCCTGGGGCCTCCTCCCCCAGCCTTCCAGCCCCAGTGCCCCCATTGAGACTGAGCCAGGACCAGGACAGGGGGGCTTTCATATCTCAGGGGTGGGGCCACCCCCTCCCCATAGACCCACACACCTGGTTGGGACTTTCCACATACCCCTGCTCCCCTCACCCAGCTTCCTGTTTACCCAGAGCTGGGGTGGGGCAGCTGGATGCCTGGGTTCCTTGAACTGGGGAAGGAGTTGAGGTGAAGAGACAGGCTTTCACCGTAGATCTGGAGGGGGTCTTAGAGCTCTTCTGGCTTAATAGGGAGGAAAACTGAGGCCCAGAGAAAGCGGGTAGCTTGCAGAAAGTCTGGCAACAAAGCTGCAATGAACACAGAACTCCCGATATCCAGTGCAGCCTGCAGCCTTCTGCACTCCAGAGATGGGTGCTGGAAAGAGGGCTGCACCCACATCCGTGATGTCAAGAACTGGGGTCTTGAGGGATGGATGTCTGGGTCCCTGAGAAGAACATTTCCCCACACTGGACTGACCTCCTCCATTCCTGTACTTACCCCCAGCCCCCAGAGTTGGGTCCACAGCAATAGCAGCTGAAGGGAGTCTGCCTCACTGAGGAGGGGTGCGATGAGCATTTTACCTCCCTGGCTACAGAGTACACACAAAAAAGCCATAAGGCAGGCCCTCAAAGAGCTTTGCAGCCCACAATGAGCCCCGTCCATCAAATAGGTGCTGACTAAATGTTTATGAATAAATGAAGAAGGGACAAATGAATGAGTAAGCAGAACCAGGCAGCACAGATCCAACGAATGTTAGGGTAGATAGTGCAATACGAGTTGAGGGAAAGACCAGGTCCAAGGAAGTTAGAGATGGTCACAGATCATCTCCCCTTCTCAATGACATCTTTGTGTGTTTGGATGATGATGATAATAATAATAATAATAATATAGCTAATACAAAAACAGCACCTAGCATGTGCCTGTGGCTGATGTCTACACTTTACATATAATAATTCTTTTAATCCTGATAAAAATCCCGTAGGAGGAAACAGGCAGAGAGAGATTAAGGAATTTATGGAGTTGGAATTTGAACCCAGGCAGCCTGGCTTCAGAGCCTTGAGCAGAAGACAGTTTAAAAACCAAGAAACTTCAGATTTGTGCATTTCACTACATGTAAATTTTGTCTTCCTCAACTCTCTAAAAAAGAAACAGAGAAACGAATGAGGAACTGGAGTCAATGATAAACATGGCAAAGGGTTTAGAGTTGAAATGTATTGATGTTTGCAACTTTGAAAAGTATCAAAAAATGAGACAGATTGATAGATAAGCAATAAAGCAAATATAGAAAAATGTGTAATTGCAGAATCTAGATGGAAGGGATATGTTCATTGTATAATTCTTTCCATTTTTTCTATGTTTAAACTTTTTAATAATAGATGTATAAAACTTCCAAAAACTGAATATTGTCCAACTGCCCTGCAAGAGGGAACAAACACTATGAAGGGGGAGGGAGAGGAAATAGCAGGAAGTTTCTGAGTTTGGAGAAGAAAATGCAAATGCATTTGGACCCAGGCACCAGATCTCCTCCTAACCCCCTGCCTCCATGAATTCCCCAGTCTTCACCCCCCTCATGACTGGGTGTGCAGTCTTCCAGCACACATCTCCGTCTCCATCACAGTGCCCCTAAGAGGCAGTCCACAACTCTGTCCAGAGGGTCTCAGACTACTGCCCTTACTTATTTTTGTGCTTACTATCAGAATGCTGCCTCTAGCAAAAATTCCACCTGGATTGGCCATTTTTTCTGAACACCAATTTGCCATCAACTTTCTATCCTAGATCTAACAGCAGCGCTTACGTAGATCTAGTCTGCCTGCCTTTGACTTTTCTATTTGTAAATCCATCAGCCAAGAGCCCTGCTAGATAGAGCCCAGAACATGAGGTGAGTCCAAACCCACCAAAACCACCAGAGTTCCAGTCTGATGCAGGACCTAAGGGTGTGTCCACACACATACACTGAAATCATGAGTTCTTAGTGGATGCAGTGCAAGAGGTAATTGGGAGAAAGTTAATCAGGGAAGGCATCTGGAGGAGGTGTGCAGTCACTGACTCCTTGCAGGGTCAATAGGATGGCAGGAGCTGAGAAGGATTACAGGCTTCTTCATAGTCCCAGGAGCCTGAAAGGAAAAATGTCCTAACCCTTACCCTCAAAGCCTCACTTCCTCTTCTTCGACACTGGGGAGGCCTCAAGGCTGGGGGAGAAGTTAAGCCAGAGAGGGGGTGGGACTGTCATAGGTGGCCACAATTCCTGCCACCCAGGCAGCTCCAGCCAGTCTTGAGTCACCCCACGCAACCCTCCATCCCCTGCAGGCCATAGGTTCTGGGTAAGCTGGGAAACAGCAAGGACCCTTGGCAAGGGTTTGGGACAGGCACACCCCAGAGGGAGATGGGGCTACGAGGAAGAAAAGGAAGATGAAGAAAGGGAAATTACAGCTTTGCAGTCCCCTGGGCCCTGGAGGAATCCTCTGTCCATCCTCTGTCTCTGCTCCCCTCCAAAATTAAAAACAATCCACTTCTGCCCCTACTGCCTTCCATGGCTACCTCGGGCACCTCTCCACCTGGGCTTCTTCTCTCCCTACCCCACCCCACACACACATCCCAGAATTCCCCTTGTACCCAGGAGGGTCTCAGTTTCCAGACCCCGGTCAGTGCATCCGGCTCTGGGGTGAAGTCAACGGCACCCTCTTTGCCTTCAAAGAGGAACCAGTGGTTGCAGGGCAGGAAGTGCCTGAAGGGAAGTTATGGGGCCCCAGACACTCTCCACGCCCCACTTCAGCCCAGCAGAATCTGCCCATGAGAAGCAGCTCTCCAAGCTCTGCTGAGTCGCTTTGGGGTTGAAGGAGCAGCCCTAGGGGTCAAGTGGTGCTGGACGCTGTTAGGTAGCCGAGGTGGCTAAGAAAGAACTGTGCACTAAAAGGTCCAACTAAGAGCTTTTTTGTGAGGCGAGATGCTGTGATCAGACAGGCTGAGTCCGAGCAGACTGCAGCAGCAAGGGAAAGGGTAGAGGGGTTTTTAAGGGTGTGTGGCAGACCCCCGGGGAGGGTGGGTCACCCTGCTGATCTGCCCCACGTGTCCTGGGTATAGGTGATTGCGACACAATGTCTTCTGATCAAGGATGGCTGATTCGGAGACAGAAAGTCAGGGAGATTTATGGGCCTTGCCTCTGGGAAAAGCTTGAGGGAGAGAGGAGGGGTAGTGAGGATTTAACACGTTTCCAGAAGGATGCTGGCGGCGGCTGTGCCTCAGTTGCTTCTGATAACAGGGTATCTGGTGGTCAGGTTACTTAGCCAGTGACGCACACCTCCTTTGTTCCAGCATAGGCAGTGGCTTAGGTCCTCCATGTCGCAGTACATTCACACAGACACTGCCCTCCCTACCTTTCCACCAGTCCGCACAGGCACTCCAAACCCTGGTTCCTCCTCCTCCACCAACCCTCTTTCTGAACAGAACCTAGAAGTATCCAGTGCTGGAGAGGCCTTTATAATCAGCCTGGGGCAACGGAAAGGGGATGGGCTCTGGAGCTGGAAGGAGCTGGGCTTGAACCCCAGCTCTGGCACTTCCGGGCTGGTTCCTCATGAGGGAGATGGGGACCACCACACCCTGCAGTGATGAATGGAAAGTGCCCAGTTCAGAAATGGACAGGAGTGAGCCTTCTTAGCCTGGAAAGATTGTAACAGAGGGCATGTACTTTACAGATGAGGAACTTGAGGCACGTGACTTGCCCCAGGCCATTTAGGCTGCCAGGGCAGGAGCTAGGTTTTCTGACCTCCACGCCAGTCTTTGGTCCCCAATCTAATGGCAGCTTCGGATGGTTTGATAGCAGGTAAGGTACCCCTTGCACAGGGTGCAGTGTGTGAAAAGTGGTGTGTGCAGTTGATGAGTAGGTAGCCTCTCAGGACCAGCAGTGAGGTGGGCAAGGGACTTCATAGGGAGAGCCAGGTGCAGTAGGGATGGCAATGGGAGCCTTTGAGGGATAAGAGGTCTCAGGAGTGAATGACATAACCAATGATGGGTGGGTCCCTCTGGTAGGTGAGGGAAGAATCTCTGAAAGTATATTATTCTGCCTCTAATACTGTTGGAGAGGGCACTGAGATACTGTCACCAACGAGGAGGATGAGATAAGCTGAAGAGGGAAAGGGGCCCTCTAATACTCATTCCTTTTCCCTACAGACAAATGCCTTTACATCTATGGCTGCTTGGGGCTTGGAGGGCTCCTGGTTGTGGCTCTGTCCGGCTGTGTGTGTTGGCTCCATCGGAGAGGTGAGCCTGCCCTGACCTCAGGCATCACCACATAGCAATGCCCCATGTGGCCCCCACCCACACCCTTTCTTACTGCTTTCCCAGAAGCCCCCATCAACCCTGACATGCCCTGGTGAAGAAGGTGGGAGTAGGTGGTGGGAGAGGGAAGGGGAAAATGCCCCAAAAGAGAGTCCAAGGCTTTGGCAGTGGGAACCACAGGCAAGGCAGCAAGTGAGGAGCAGACCTCTGGGGGTGGGGGAGCCACTCTGGAGAGGTGGGAGGCACAATGGTTGGGCTATGCTGACCTTTTTTTTTCTTTCAGTGAGGAAGCTGGAAAGGAGCTGGGTGAGTAGGGGCAGGGAAGTGGGCAAGGGGGCCACTAGAGAAGGCTGAGGCTTGAGGTGGTGGGGGCAATGGAAGAGCAAGAAAGCAGGAACATGAGACAGTCAGTGAGAGAAAAAATGAGAGAGACAAAAAGAAAAAAGTAAGAGAATGGGTAGAAGAGAGGAAAAAACTGGTGTAGAGATAGGAAAAGGAAGTAAAACAAAAGAGAAAGAGAGAGGGGAAGAAATGACAGAGACAATGAGTGAGAGCAAAAGAGGGAGAATGGAAGAGACTCTGGGAAAATGAGAAAGCTACCAAGAGAAAAAGTAAGAGAGAATTAGAGTAAGGGGTAGGGGGCGGAGAGGGGGAGAGTAAGAGGCAGGCAGAGACAGGGAAACAAGGGGGAAAAAAACCTGAGCTGAGTGCGTGGTGGGGGGGGGGGGTTGGAGGGAGAAGGGAGAGAGGAAGTGGGGGGTGGAGAGTAGAGGTTGAAGAGGCAATGATGTAAGAAAGTGAGGGTGGGGCAAGAACTCACAGGGAAGGTTCCGCTGAGGGAGGAAGGCCCCTCCTGTCACCTCTCTCCTGTCAGCTTCAGCACTGGCCCCAGGCCCAGCTCTCCGAGCAGGAACTCCACTATGCATCTCTGCAGAGGCTGCCCTGCTGTAAGCGGCCTAACCTTGGTGATCCAGAAAGGGAAGGCTCCAAGGAGGACCCTAGCACTGACTATACCTGCATTGCTGAAAACAAACCCATCTGAGCGCCCCAGACATTGCCCTCAACAAAGGCGAGAGTCCTGTGGTTCGCCCAGCAGACCATGGTCTTGAGGCCTCCCATGTCTGACTTCTTCAGTCCATCTCAAGCCAGCTGTTCAACATGGCCACCATAAAAACTTAATTGACTCACCTTTCCGCCCACTCCGGGGTCAAGTAGTGATTTATTGGATGAAGAAGGGTGTTTAGGGACCCAAGCTCCCCTAAAGGCCAGAAAAGAGTACAGTAGCCCCCGACCCCCCACCCCTTATATGCAGTTTTGCTTTCTACTGTTTCAGTTACCCACAGGCAGAAAATATTAAATGGAAAACTCTAGAAATAAACAATTCCTAAGTTTCAAATTGCACAGCATTCTGAGTAGCTTGTTGAAATTTCATGCTGTCCTGCTTCATCCTGCCTGGTATGTGACTTACCCATTTGTCCAGTAAATCCACCCTGGATACGCTACCTGGCTGTAATGTATCCAACTAGGTTACAAGATCAACTGTCAAGGTATTGCAGTGCTTGTGTTCAAGTCACCCTTACCACAGTCTAACGCTCTGTCAGACTGCCTATGCCTACATCATTCACATCATTCACCTCACTTCATCTCATCACCTAGGCGGGCATTGTATCATCTCACATGTGACAAGAAGAAGGGTGAGTACAGGACAATACGATATTTTGAGAGAGAAACCATTCACATCATTTTTATTACTGTATGTTGTTAAAATCATTCTATTTTGTTACTGTTGTTTTTAATCTCTTACTGTGCCTAATTTATAAATTAAGCTTTACCATAGATAGGTACATACAGAAAAAAAAATGGGTTTTGGAACATATCTCTCGTAGATGGGGGCAGACTTTTATATTTGTCTATGGGCACTTGACAGGTAGGACCAATCAGATTTGATACTTCTCATTTCTCAGGGGAATCAGCCTCAGCCTCCTGGGCCTGGGAGAGTTGGGTCCTCCCCATGTCGAGCCCCAGAACAGTGGTGGGAGGGGGCTCTCAGCACAATTTCTGGGAAGCTCCCTTCTTGGACCTTTCCAGGCCAGGCTTAGTAGAAGGGAGAGTTAAGAATCAGAGGCACCCAGAGAGGGACACACTGGGGTATCCAGACAATGGAGAAGGAAATACATGAGACCCATAAGAAGTTAGTGGTGGGGCAGAGAGAGAGATTTATTGGGGTCTCCTGAAGAGCACTGGGATCACTGGGGTCTGGAATCACTTATCAGAGGCTGTCCAAGCTGTGGCAGTGTGTCCTCATGTGACAGTGGCCTGGTGGTGAGATAGCCAGAGTCACTTCTCTTCTTGATCTCTGTCTCCCCCCTCCTCCAGCTCTCTCACTGCCCCTCCATCTCTTCTGCCATTGCCATGGCTCCACAACTCACATTTGCCTTGATAATAGATGGTGCTGCCCATGGCCACAGAGAGGAAGCTGAAGACATAGAATCCAGCCCGGAGGAGGAGGACTGCAAGGGCCCCTAGCCCAGGAGATCCTGCATGTGGGCAGTAAAGAAGAAGGGCTTGGTAAAGGGGACCCAGGGAATAAATGTGCACAGGCTCAGGGAGGGATAGAGGGCAGGGAGCCTCAGAGGAGGACTCTCAACTTCCAGGGAGAGTGGAGCCTCCAGCCAAGAACATGCAGCCTCCTGGGGCCTCACCTTTCTCCACCACCAGCAGAGTCCCATTCCCTGTCCCGACACCCAGGCCCAGCACCTCCACCCTGCACACGTAGACTCCAGCATCACTGCCTCGGGTGTCCCAGATGTGCAGCTCAGCCTGGTGGTCAGAGAGGAAGCGGGAAGAGGCAAGAGGGGCCAGGCGGCCCCTGAACTCGGGAGTCCCGTTCCTCACCTCCTTCCCTGGGGCCACCTTATCCCGGTACCACGTGACGGAGCCAATGGCCAGTCTCTCTTGGCTGGCATTGAAGGAGCAGGGCAGAAGGGCAGCGGTACCCTCCTGGGTACGAATCTCAGGGGGCTGGGACACCCAGAGAGCACAGGATTCTAAGGGCAGAGAGAAGACCCAGATAAACGCCTCCCCAGTTAGCTACTCTGAAAAGACAAGAGAGCTTGCAGCAGAATATCCCAGCTGTCCCCAACCCACAGAGAGTCAAGGGACAAGCACTTCAGGGGCCTCATTAAACCCTTTCCTCTTTACCAATCTAATATCTTAACATTACTTATTAAATCATTTTCAAATTCTTTCCTATACCAACTCTCACACTCAACTGTCTTTCATCATTTTCCAGCTGCACTCACCAGTAATATCTTTCTGAAATTTAACCTGTCACAATGAAGTTGAAGCTCATTATTGAATGTGGCTGCCTAGTTCGCCGATAGCATTAATTATATCATTCCAAGTATCATTTTTGTGCTAATGACATTCTATAGTACACCACCCTTGCTACTTTGTTTTGGTTAAAGAGCGTTAACTACGTAAATCTTCAGGTGAGGACATGGTTATAATTGATTGAGATCCCTATTAAATGATCCAAATTGATTATTTAAACCAGTTATTAAAATCCCTGATTTAATTATCTGATTAGTGAAATTTACCAGTCATTCTCCTATTTCAGTGGCTCTCAAACTTAAGAGCTCATTGAAATCACCTGGAGTCTTTTTTAAAACTGATATCTGGGCCCCACCTCCAGACATTTTTATTCTATGGCTCTAAAGTGGGGCCTGGATTTGCCCCAGGTTCCAGCTGATGTGAAGCTACAAGTCTAGAATCCACGCTGCATTTAGTTAAAGGAATATGTCTGACAGGTGAGGTCTGTCAGTTAACCAAAATCAGTTTCACTAAGAAACTTATCTTAGACTTAATTAGGTGTCCCAAACTCCTAATTATATCTAGAGGCAAATAATAAGCCTTGTTTAATAGGCTTATTAAGCTCATCAAATTAAAATTGACTCCTTAAAAAAAATTGACCCCTTCAAGCCAATTATACTGGATCCTTCAACTTTATCCTATTAGGTAGGTGGCTGAGAAGAAGAGAGCTCTGGGTAGAAGCTGGGAAGTGAACTCACCAGCAGGCAACATGGAGGGAACTGAACTGGGGAGTCCCTAGATGTCAGCCTTGTGGAGGGCCACCTGCTTCCACTCTCCTTTCCTTGCCACTCCCCTCAGGACCCAATATTCAGCCCCTACCAAGCCTGCTCCCCAGAACATCTATGTCCAGCATCCCCCGTTCTGCCTTCTCCCAGCCCCATACCCATCAGGGTCCGGGGGGAAAGCCCTGTCACCTGGATGGACCGTGATAAAGATGAGCAACAGCATCCAGTCCATGTTGGAGGGCATCCCAGTTGAAGAGGGGAGCCTGAGCAATGAGGTCTGGGTGGCGATGAGGTCTGCGTCCAATGAGGAATGGCCCACTTGCAACCAGGCCTTTGGTCACGATAAGGGTGGGAAGCTTTCTGTGACATACAGGATTCACATCACTTGCCAGGGGCCTCAACCGCCTGGGACCTTGGGCATGAAATGCGTGCTTCTGCAAAGAGAGAGACTTCTGCTAAGGGTGATATCTGGGTCACTAGGAGGTGGGGGCAGGTTGCCTAAGGGTTTGAGAAGGAGAGTAGAGCTTAGATGTCTGGTAACACCAGGGTAGGTGGGTGGGCAGGTGAGACCAGGATGTGGTTCCCCCAACTTCCGATGTTCAAGGAGACCAACCCTTAACCCAGAAGCACCTCCAAGAGCTTTCCTGGCCCAGAGCTAATCTATGTCTCCAACCCGCGGCTCAACTGCGCCCAGGCCCACCTCATCCATTTCTTTCCCTTGAATCTGGCTCTCCCCCAGGGCCCCTCTAGAAATTCTATAACTGTAGGGTTTAAGAGAAGGAAGCTGATTGGTGGTGGTGACAGGGGTTGCTAGGGTCTTAGTCCCTGTTTAACTTAGACTGTTGACTAGCAAGGTTTGGCAAAGTGAGTGCAGCTGATGGAGATGCTTGGACTCATTCATATTCAAATCTCCATTAAAGGAATTCACCTCTCACAGAGGTCTGCTTTATGGACAACATTGTGTGTGGACTTACCACCCACTGGTAAATTCACTCATTTATTATTTTATTCTTTGTTTAACTAACATTTATTGAGAAATTACAAAGTGTCCATTCCATGAAATGTGTTTGCACAGACACAAATGAAAGACACATTGTGTTACATGTGACTCCAAGGTTATACAGGGATTAGGGCAAGAGTATGCCACACACAAGTATTATAGAACTTTGTGAGATAGCACAGCAGGTAGAAAAGAAAGATTACCTGTAACATGACTAGTAAAATATGGGCCCAGCCCTCACCATACACTTCTCTCTGGCTCCTCTTAGAGTAACACATTATTTTTCTTTGTGTCTGTGTCTAGCTCTGTTTCACAATACATTTGTTGAGTGTGTAGTCCCCCCTTCACTGCAGTGATCTGGAGTGTTTGGTTTTGTTTTTCTGGAGAGGCAGTAATCTCATGGTTAAGAATTCTGGCTTAGAGTCAAGTTGGGTTCAAATGCCAGCTCCTCCACAAACTAGTTATATAAGCTTGAAAAAATTGTTTAACTTCTCTGATCCACCTAGACAAGCATGCATGCCAGGGCACTCTAACCAAGGGAACTGAGGTGCCCTGGCAAGGCAAGCGCTGCCCCCTGGTGGTCACAGAGCATGAGAAGCCTCCCCACAACATTAAATTCCAGCTTCTGCCCTGTCCCTTACCTTGCCTGGTGCTATCAACATCTATCACCCCCTTGCAAAGAGTCAACGTAGAGAAAATTGTGTCTTCTACTCAACTGTGAGAAACCCATGGCTTTGAGAGGGAGAGGAGGTCACCATTTAGTGGAGTGGGAGTGGGTGACTGGCCTGCAGATAAAACCATGCTTTCACAATGCACACTCATTTACTCACAGAGCACTACTTCACCGCCAAGGGCAACACAGCTTAGAAGTCAAGTCAGCCTAAATTGGAGTCCTGGTTTCACTACTTGCACATCTGTATAATGGGAGTAGTAGCATCTGTCACTTTCAGCTCTGACACTGTGCTGGGTGCTCAGTGTCTGGTAGCCCCTAGCTTCTCCCCAGTCCTGGGTTAGGATGACCAATGTGGTAGCTGGGCCTGAACTCAAGGGTATTTTGCTCTCTCTACCTCTTTTATTTACTTACAATTTTAAATATACAAAAATGTTGTGGATTCCAAAAACACTTAGATTTTTTAAGTCCATCTAGAATAAATCCTGTGTGGCACTTTTTCAGTAATTCTGAGATGCTCTGGGGAACTTTAACGTGCAGGATGGGAACTGCTGCACAGATCAGCTCAGCAGATACAAGGAAGGAATTTTTCAAAAGAAAATTTTACCAGGGACTCAAGAGGAGAGGTAATGAAAAGAAAAGTTGTTGGGTGGAGGTGGAGAAAGGGAGAAAAAGTGTGAACAACTGTAATAACATAAACAACAAAAATAAATAAATTTTAAAAAGAAAAAGTTATGAAATGGATGTATGCACATCTCTGGTCTAATTTTTTTATATTGATTTTTAGAGAGAGAGAAAGAGAGACATCAACTTGTTATTCCACTTAGTTATGCATTCATTGGTTGATTCTTGAACCAGGATCAAACCTGCAGTCTTGGTGTATAGGGGCAATGCTCTAATCAGCTGAATTACCCAGCTAGGCCTGGTCTAGTTTCTTTAATATCCAGCTGTGGGCTGACTTCAGTGTGATCAGAACCAGTAAACTCCCAACTCAGAGCTCAGAGCAGGTGGAGAAGTGACAACCCAGACGGGACGCTGGAATCCCAACACAGGTGATTCCACCTCACCTGTTGTTTCCTCCTCTAAGTGTCAGAAGGGGTAAGATATGGGCAACTTCTCTGGCCAAGGCCTTATAAATGTTTTCAAACTAATTAATAGTTCCAGTTTATACTTTCCACTTCTGACCACAATTTCCTCTCTGAGGTTCAGGGCATTGAATCCCATCACCTTTGTCGTTTCCTTGGCATTGTCCAACCTCCCTCACACTCACCAAGAGATGGCATCTGACTCTCTGGTTTCCTATCTCAACCTCTGTCATCTCTCTGGAAGACTTAATGTCCAGGTAGATGACATTTTAAACACTGAGATACAGTATATACAGTAAAATGCACGGATCATAAGTGTACAGTTTAATGACCTTTTGCAGATCTATGTCAACAACACTGCAATTGAGATATAGATCATTCCCATCACCCTAGAATTTTTCCCATGCCCATTTTTGGTCAATCCTTCTCCCCTCCCAGAAGCAACCACTGATTTATACCCTTATAGATTAGTTTAATCTGTTTTTGAACTTCATAAAAATGGAATCATATGGTATACATTTTTGTATCTGGCTTCTTTCAATCTGCATGTCTGTGACATTTATATATGTTGTTGCACATCTGAATAGATTGTTCCTTTATTGCTGAGCAGTATCAGTTATACTAGTTTGTTAGCTATTCACCTCATCATGTACAATTTGGTTGTTTCTTATTTTTCACTATTATGAATAAATCTCCTATGAACTTTTCTTTAAATCTTTATTTATTTCCCTGACTGGTGTGGCTCAGTGGGCTGGGCATCATCCTGCAAAATCAAAGGTCGCTGGTTTGATTCCCAGTCAGGGCACATGACTGGGTTGTGGGCCAGGTCCCCAACTGGGGGTGTGCAAGATGCAACTGATGGATGTTTCTCTCACAAATCGATGCTGCTCTCCCTCTCTTTCTCCCTGCCTTACCCCTCTCTAAAAATAAATAAATAAATATAATGTTTTAAAATTTTTTTATTGATTTGAGAGGCGGGGGGAGAGAGAGGGACATTGATTTGTTGTTTCACTTATCTATGCATTCATTGGTTAATTCTTGTATGTGCTGTGAGCACGAATTGAACCCACAACCTTGGAGCATCAGGATGACATTCTAACCAATTGAACAAGCTGGGCAGGGCTGCTATGAACATTTTTGTATATGTCTTGCAAATGATTTTTCAATTCTCAATTTCACAGTTGCCTCACCTTGTCCACTCCAACCATCACCGTGACTCTACGTGAACTGCACCTTGGATTTCGTCACCATGGAAGCTGTTCCACTTTGGAATCTTACCTTCTCTTTCACAGGAACATAAGAGCAGTCAGGCCTGAGTCCCTCCAGACAGGAGTCTGTCTGTACGCTACACATGTGCACTCACACCACTCTCCTGTTGGAGTTTCTCTCACTTTCAGTCAACAAATTTTGAGCATCTACCATGGGCTTACCTAGGCAATCTTGTCATAGCCACAGTTTTAACTACTGCCTTCCTGATCTATATCTCCATCTCAGTCTACACCTTCACCTCAGACCTCTTTCTTGAGGTCTGAGTCTATAATATCTAACTGCCCTCTAGATACTCCTCCAGAACGTTACACAGGTATTCCAAAATGATCAGTGTCTACCATACTGGGTCAGCCTCCTGTATTCGCCTTCTCAGTGAATGGAAACACAATCTATCCAGTCACTTAAGGCAAAACTCCAGGATTTATCCTATTCTGCCTTCTCTCTTAATTCCCCCATCCACACAGTCTTTAAGTCTGGTCCATTCTGCCTCTGAAATATCATAGGTATCTCTCTGCCTCTTAATTCCCACTGCTAGTGAAGGCCTTTGTTATCTCAGGATGAAACTAGTACAGTTGCTTCTTTGACAGATAGTATGATTTCTTCTCAGTATCATTCCACATCTCCCTGTCTGAGCATCAAGGCTCATCCATCCATTTAACAATGATTTACTGAGTGCCTTCCATGTTTCAGACATCCTAACTTTATCCCTTCTTATGTCTCTTCCCCTCACTTCTCTCCTTATCTCATATCTCTGTCCTCCACTCTTTTTGTTTCACCATCTTTATTGATATCACTTGTTTCTTCCCTGTCTCTCTCCCCATACCCCACATCTCCACACCCCTCATCTACACACACAAACATGCGTGTGCGCACACACCCGCACCTCTGTTTATTTGCTAGCTAATTTCATTTTTGTGCTGTGAGCATTCAACAAATGTTTAGTTAGCATCTTCCAGGTGAAAGTCACCCTCTCCCTCCATCCCTATCTCTTCCCTGATCTCTCTCCACATCTCTTTCTGCCTTCCTGTTTTTCTCCAAGTTTTCCCTCCCCGTTTCTCCCCATCAGCACACCTCTTTCCCTTTCTCCAACCCCATTTCTCACCCTCTTTCTTCCCCATTTCTCTTTGGGTATGAGAAGGAGCCAAGGCTGGTGAGGCACTCATTTCTTCCCTTTGGGGGCCGATCACCACTCCACTGAGTAGCCTTCT